GACAGTACTTCTGTATTCATGAACTCACAGCAGCTGTTTGTCTGGTCAAACCCTGCACAAGATCAAGCTAGTCAAAATTCCAGCATGAATGGGGGAAGGGATGATGAGACCACCCCTACCTGAGGAGCTATTTTAACTGATGGCTGTTGAGGGAGGGAGAGTCAATTTTTATTTTCAGGGAAGAGCACAAACGGCACTACCACAAATTATGCAGTCGAGTTTCCCACATTTGGGGAAATTGCAGGGGTCAGCACATTCGAAGTGCAATGGATAAACCTCCCCTGGGAAAAGCACCTTCATGATCATGGTATCTCCCCTGCCAGGTAAGTATGGAAAGTCAGTTTTATTCAGGGTTATGGCATCATGGTTGCCCACACTCCAGTGAGTGACCCTGTACTCATGTGCATACCGAGCAACACTAACTGGATTCAGCGGGTTATAAAAAATAAAGGGGAAGGGACATAAAGTTAAGAGGGAGATGCAGTGGAGGGTGGTCTGGAAGGAACTGGATGGCAGAATTTGGGTGAAGATAATCAAAAATACATTGTATACATGTATGAAATTCTCAAAGAATAAATAAAAAACATTTTTATAAAGGCTTAGTGTGGCTGTTCATGCACTTTTTTTTCCTAGCACAGTGGGAGATGACAGGATTTCTGGGGCTTGCTGGCTGCCAACCCAGCTCCAACTTCAGTGAAAAAGCCTGTCTCAAAAGGATAAGCTAAAGAATGATAGAACAGGATACCTGTCATGCTCCTCTGGACTCTGCACACATGCACACCATATTCACATACACACACATATACATAGAAGAAAAGTTTTTAAAAAGACACTAACTTATAAAAGTTACTTGTTTCTAAACACTACCTATATGTGTAGTTTAAAATAAAGTATTAGGGGACATGTTTATGTTTAACATCTGAAGATTGTACTAAATTCTATTAAAGGTCCAGTCCACGAATAATGACTCTTTAAATATTTATTTCCCTTTGCACCCTAATTTACACATAATATATTTGTTGATTTCATAGTTTATTGCTGCTGTAAATCTATTGGTATGAGGAAAAATGAGGAAAAAATTAAAATGGACTTTTAAGCTATATGAAAGTGGTTCAATTGACAAGAAGGACCTAATTTAGCTTATCTTTTGGGTTACTGAATGAACATCACATTAGCAATTCTTCTTAGTGCTCTCCATCCCAAAGTCCACAAATTTAGCAGTTAAGAACTAAGAACTAAAGTATTTGTGAGCTAAACTTTCTGGAAGGGGAACTAAAGTCTTTCTAATAGCAGAAGGACTCAGATATTTTTCATCATGATGGATCATTTGTACTTTTACTGCCCCCCAACACCATTATCCCCAAAGGAGTTAGGGATATTTTCAGAGTATGATGTAAGCTTCTTCCCAAAATAAGAAAGTAACTAAGTATAAGAACTAAAGTATTTGTGAGCTAAACTTTCTGGAAGGGGAACTAAAGTCTTTCTAATAGCAGAAGGACTCAGATATTTTTCATCATGATGGATCATTTGTACTTTTACTGCCCCCCAACACCATTATCCCCAAAGGAGTTAGGGATATTTTCAGAGTATGATGTAAGCTTCTTCCCAAAATAAGAAAGTAACTAAGTAGGACATTGTACCCAAATGAAAATAGAGGCATAACAAGCATTTTAGCTGCAAAAGCACTGAATTGGTAAAATGAAATCAGAAAGAATTGAATCAAATGTCTTAGAAATCAACTGGCTCAAATTTATCCTTCTTACATGAAAGAGTTGCATTATAAACAAAATGTAGTGTAGTAGAAAAATCAACAAAAATGCAAATAAATAGTAGAATTATAATTGCAGTCAAATATTTCAATGAATGGTCAAAGCAGATAAAAATTTGAAGCTAGGTCAGTCAATATAAAGTTAACTAGTACAAATAGAATTTAGAGACCTGATAATGCTTGTGTTGATACCTCTTTAATCTCACAGGGGTCATTTAGCACCACCAACAAAAAGTATGCACTGAGGTGACCTTTATAGTACAACGATGTACATGTCTGAAGAGTCATAATCAACTTCATTGCTTTATATGCAAACTTAAAAAAATAGTAAAACGATGCACTTTGCAATTGAACTTTGTAAACATTAGAACTCAAAGGTCCTGCCTTATCTCACATATTCTGACACAAAATAAAGAATCTGAAATATTTGATAAATTCCATACTTACTTGGCAGGGGAGATACCATGATCATGAAGGTGCTTTTCCCAGGGGAGGTTTATCCATTGCACTTCGAATGTGCTGACCCCTGCAATTTCCCCAAATGTGGGAAACTCGACTGCATAATTTGTGGTAGTGCCGTTTGTGCTCTTCCCTGAAAATAAAAATTGACTCTCCCTCCCTCAACAGCCATCAGTTAAAATAGCTCCTCAGGTAGGGGTGGTCTCATCATCCCTTCCCCCATTCATGCTGGAATTTTGACTAGCTTGATCTTGTG